CTTAGCAGTGTAGCATGATCAACCCCTAACTCTTCTCCCAATTCACGCGATGATACCCGATGGTCGCTGGTAATGAGTTCGAGTAATTTGGAATCATCCAGGTGGGGTTCAACATCATCCATGTTGAAGTAAACAAACCCCCCTTTCAGCTGGTTCTTGCTGTTGTCTTTGCTGCTTTAATTTACGCTTAATCCTGTGCAGGTTGGTGAATTGAAAATTGCCGGACTTTGAACTAAAATTTGTTCAACATAAAACCATAGATTCATTCCAAATAATTTCCATTATTATTGACGACTTCTGCCCATTTTACAGGCAATTTGCGGATTCCTCTTTCGTCGTAGGATTTTGGTTTGTGTGTGAGACAAGTGTGAGACTCAAAAATGGAGGACTGGAGACTGGAGATGTCCCAGTTTGAGCACTTTCTTCAAAAGAAACCCATTTTGGTGTCAATAGAAAAGCTGTAGAGAATCAAAAATTAGGCTTATAGTCAAATTTCCAAAAAGATACACTTAGTAGTTTCGCTTAAAATGCAAGTTTTGTGAAAGTTCGTAATTTTGGCGTAGATTTGGCATTTCTTGAGAACCAGTTTTTGAATCGTTTTTGAATCTGAAAATTAGGATATAAGCTTAATTTTTGATTCTCTACAACTTTTCCATTGACACCAAAATGGGTTTCTTTTGAAGAAAGTGTTCAAACTGCGACATATGACAATAGCCGGCAGTTTTCAATTCACCAATCCAATAGATAACAATTACAGAAGAGATATGATTCCCAAGTGCTTCTAGATTGAAACCAGGAAATACCAACAAGGATCTTTCAACATTCAAAAGAAAAAAGGGTTCGAAGGGCTAAAGTCTTTTCATATTATTATTATTCGTTCCTGTTGGCATTCGCTCCGATATTCTTTCAAAATGCATCGAATTCACAAAGTCATTTCGGCGAACAAACATTGATATCAAGGTTTTTGCGCTAAAAATTTAGCCAAAAGCAAAGAAAAAAATCTTTGTTTTTCTTTTCAGCCTTTTGTCTACGTGTAGCAGTTGTTCAGATACCATTTTTTCCCGATCATTTTTCCCGATCTTTTTAAGTTTTATGATCAACAAAAACTCAAAGAAACAAACGATCGAATTTTTGGTGAATCCCTTTTATTTACTTTCGAATAGATTAATTCGAATTAAATGAAAGAATTTCAGCAAAAAAGCAACGAAATTCAAATTTGTTTAAGCGACAAATCTCATGTAAATAACCAAATAAGATAAAATTCAATTGACTGACACGTTGTCAGTAGTTAGCTTAATATTATCTAATTACTTCAAGATTTGAATACTTTAAGCATCATAATTTTAATTTTAATTCAAATAAGAGTTCTTCTTGTTTTAAATTGATTGATTATTTCAAAAATATAAGTTTAATCTGGGGGTGGGACAAATGCGACCTTTTTTTTTGCTGGAAAAGGCCTTAGGAAAGGCCGTAGAGCTTCAAAAATGTTTTCATATGAGGGAATCGTATGCGTAGATTCAGAATTTTGGCAAATCAGACCTCGCTGACACGTCAAATTGGGGCTAAAAGGCAAAAACTGCGGAAAAGCGTTAAGTTGCGTAGTTTTTGCCTTTTAGCCCAAATTTGACGTGTCAGCGAGGTCTGATTTGTCGAAATCCGGAATCTACGCATACGATTCCCTTCTATGAAAACATTTTTGAAGCTCTACGACCTCTCCTAAGGCCTTTTCCAGCAAAAAAAAAGGTGCGCAAATGTCCAGGTGCGCAAAAAAAAGGTCGCATTTGTCCCACCCCCGTTATTTGTTAACATTTGTTAAAAATCTCAAGTTTGTTAGCCTAACATTTCTCTAAATATTTTGTAAAGTACGATAAAATTTAAATGTTTCAATTTTTCCCTTCCAAATCTAACTATAGCTAACTAGCTAACCCCAAGAATAAACTTTTTATTGTGCTAAACTTGTTGCAAACAAAACAAAAGCAGTTTTAAAACAAAAGCTTTACTTTCTTTCTTGAGCTTTTCATCAGTTATTTACTTGTTCAATAAAGCGATAGAGGCTGAAATTTTTGGGGGTGAGAGTGGGCGATTACTTTCGGGTGGATTGGCGGGAGAAACCGGGGAAGTTTGGTCCTTTTTTGGAGAAGAAAACTCCAAAACCCGAATGGCTTTCCCCCGGCCGCGATTTCCGCTATTCTTCAAAAAAAAAAAATAATAAGAAATTGAATGGATTACGTGTAAACGTTATGGATGGATTTCTTGAGGTCATCAACTTGAACCCGGGTATTTCCTTCTTTCCTTCTTTCCTTCTTTCTTTCTTTCTTCCTTTCTTTCTTCCTCCCTGTCTTCGCCTTGGCTTGGCAAGTTAAGGTACCGGATAGCTCAATGGCTATAGGCACAATGGCTATAGGCTCAATGGCTATAGGCTCAATGGCTATAGGCTCAATGGCTATAGGCTCAATGGTTAGAGCAAAAAGCTTTCCAGATAGCCCGGAAAGCAAAAGGTCAATCCCATCTCCAGAAATCCCATCTCCAGAAATTTACCCTTTCTTTTCTAATCTAATCTACTTTTTTCACAATTCCTTCACTTCTTTATTACCTTATAAGTTTTATGAGCTGCATATGGTCGTTATAGTCAACAGATTCAGTGATAAAACCTGGCTAGAGTCATTAGAGAGACTAGAGAGTAGGGACCGAAATTTTTGAATAAGTGAATGTTGAGGCAAATCAGTGACTCTAATAGTGGAATTGATCAAGATCTGGTTTTGACAGTGAAGCGAACAAAAAAAACAAACCGCAAACACACTAGCCTGTCTATAAAGTAATCCACTATATATAAAAAAGGAAGTGTCCGTCCGTTCGTTCGTCTGTCCGTCTGTTTGTCCGTCTGTCTGTCCGTCTGTTTGTCCGTCTGTTCGTCTGTCTGTCTGTCCATCTGTTCGTCTGTTCGTCTGTTTTTTGTCTGTCCGTCTGTTTGTCTGTCTGTCCGTCTGTACAGACAGTTCTCCGCTCCCCGTGGGCCGATTTACATGATTTTTAGTTTCTTAGCTTAAAATTCTATGTAGTTGTGCATCTCATATTTCGTTTTTTAAAAAGCAAATGTCATGACACAGCAGGGAGTCGAACACGGCTCGTGTGGGCCGTAGACAAGCGGGCTGCCGGCTGCTTCACGTCAGCCCGCCATTAGGCGGATTTTTCGGTCGATAGGAAATCTTAAGCTACCAATTTTTTGTTTTTCAGTTTGTTTTGAGTTTTAAGCTTTCTTTCCTTGTAAATTTCTTATTAGGATGAGATTAGATTCAACTCTAAATGTTTTAAACAGCAACAACAAGAACAAGAACAAGAACAAGAACAGCAACAGCAACAGCAAGAACAAGAACAAGCACAAAGTTTTAAAGATTTAGGTTTATGAAGGAAAGATTTAGGTTTAGAAAAGAAAAGTCTACGCTCAAGCTTGGGGTTTGAATGTTCAAATGTCTTCATTTTTGTCTTTCATTAGATATTTGTCAAAAAAAAAACACTATTATATATCTTTATCTCTCAATTTGTCAAGATTTATGCAATTTCCCGAAATCTTTTCCACTTTTCATCACACTCTTTACCTTTTCTTTCTCTCGGTTGTAAAGCTTTCGCCCTTTTCAAATTCGAATCGAAAAGAAAAAGGGTCCTTTATTGCAATTTCTTTCCATTTTCCATTTTCAGGGGATCCAAAAGAAAATCGAAAGAGTTTCTTTTGTTTTTTCAGCCTTTCTTTCTCACTTCCTCAATGTGGTTTGATTTTTCTCCTATACAATTCTTGTTCTTGTTCTTGTTCTTGTTCTTGTTCTTGTTCTTGTTCTTGTTCTTGTTCTTGCTCTTGTTCTTGTTCTAGTTCTTGTTCTTGTTCTTGTTCTTGTTCTTGTTCTAGTTCTTGTTCTAGTTCTTGTTCTAGTTCTTGTTCTAGTTCTTGTTCTTGTTCCTATACAATTTCAAGAATTTCAGGCAATCAAACCGATGATTTCAACTTGAAGACAAGAAAATGAGCTCAATGTATTCAATTTCAATTTCAATTATCTCATATTTCTATCTATTTGGATATTCGTTTGGATTGAAAGGTGAGTTTTTGAGAGTCCAAGTCCAAGTGCTGCAAGTCGGTAACTTTAAGCAGTCTATTATCGTCTTTAAGCAGTCTATTATCGGCAAACTTTAAGCAGTCTATTATCGTCTTTAAGCAGTTTAGTATCGTCTTTAAGCAGTCTATTATCGTCTATTATCGTCTATTATCGTCTATTATCGTCTATTATCGTCTTTAAGCAGTCTATTATCGTCTATTATCTATCGTCTATTATCGTTATCGTCAAATTTTCCGAGTTTAGGCCAAAAACCCGTGCAGTATGACATCGCTGAGTACATTTTGCGGAATTACAATGCGGATTTGATCCCCCGGAAAACGCATAACTCGACGGTGAATGTGCACATGAGCATGCAGTTGTATCAGATCATCGAAGTGGTGAGTGGAAGATGCTATGAGTGAGACTTATGTTAGATTTAAAAGAGGATTCGATTTCGGAGAACCTCTAGAGAAGGGTAGTAGGCTAGGAAAGTGATTTGAGATTCTGAAACTGTAATCAAAATTTGTGGAAGAGGTCGCGTATGCAAGATTATTGACTCGAAAGTTTATGGGTCGAGTTTATGAGCCCCTCTCCAAGCAGCAGTCGTGGTGCAGTGGATAAAGTAGTGGTCTACAAAACTGGTCAACCCGTTTTGGGGGTGGGTTCGAGTCCCCACTTAGCAAAGTTTTTGCAGGGTGGCGCACAATTACCGTTTTTTACGACAAACGGTTGATAAGCGCTCCGCCAACAGCATTCGTAGTGTAGTGGCTAGTGAGATGGTCTACAAAGCTGATCAACCTTTTTTTGTGGTGGGTTCGAGTCCGCACTTGTCAAACGTTTTATGATGTCGAGTCTATGATCGAGTTTATTCGCCCTCTCCAAGCAGCAGTCGTGGTGCAGTGGATGGATAACGTGATGGTCTGCGAAATTAACCGACGTTTTTTTCTGGTGAGTTCGAATCCCCACTCGCTAAACGCTTTATTTATTCACAATATTTCTGATTTTCATCATAATATCACAAATTCTTATAGTATTTAGCTTCTTTTCCATATATTTGATCTTGAACAAAATAGAATGCCTTTTTTCTAACAAAACATTCTATAAAAGAGGCTAATTATTGTGATATTATAACAATTTCAATTTAATTTTGATCTTTCTTAATTTAAACAGCTTTTACACTGTTTTTTTTATGAAGTACATGAACTTATTATTCTGAAAATCAAAAATATTGTGAAAAATCAAAAGCAAGGTCGAGGAAGTAGGGATTCGAACCCACCACAAGTGGCCCTATCAGCTTTGTAAACTAACACAGTATCCACTAGACGCTGCGGCTGGCCGGCGGCTTATAAACTCGACTCATAAACTTTCGGGCCAACTTTCGAGCCTGCAAGTTATTGCGCAGATTTTGATTACAGATTCGGAATCCCAGTCGATTTCCTAATGAGCTAGATTTCGTTTTGAAATCCCACGGTGACCTAGTACTAGACATGTGCCAGTACTAGTACTAGACACGTGCCAGTACTAGTGCTAGACATGTGCCAGTACTAGTACTAGACCTGTGCCAATACTAGTGCTAGACATGTGCCAGTGCTAGTACTAGACATGGTCGTCAAATGCATTCTAGCAAACGACTTTTGCTTGCTAAAACATGAATACACTGTGATTTTACGCCTTGGAAAACGAAAGCCGTTTGCTAAAATGCATTTGGATTTAAAATTCACTCGATGACACATGTCTACCCAGTACCCATCCCTAGTCGTCAAGAAATGAGTCGTAGGTGATCTAACAATTGTATGTTCTTGTTAATAAACGTCATTTAGAACGAGCCTCAACAATATCTGCTGCTCAACGCATGGGTGATTGAGGTTGGGCAATCGAAAGTCAAAACAACAATGTTTTTGGAGGGATTTTCTCAGATTTCCTAAAAACCTAGCTTTTTTTAATCATTTTCACAAGTGAAAGAGTCCAGATCAATCAGAAAATCAGTCAGAAAAGCGAAAAGCTTTTGATTGATCGATTTTCGATGAGAATTGATCGATTTAGTTATGGATTTGGTATTTTGTGACCTAGTAACTTTGATTTTGTAACTTTGATTTGTGGATTTTGTATTTTGTAACAGATCTAGTAAACATAAATGTAAGAGAAAACGATTTTCAGCGCTGGACAGATCACATGTTGGACTGGGATCCAGCAAATTTCGACAACGTTTCCGAGATCATGATCCCTCACTACAAGTTGTGGCTACCCGACACAACACTTTACAACTCGTAAGCTTTTCTGGAATACTCTAACTACTACTCGTAAGCTACGTAAGCTCGTAAGCTCCCGTAAATACTCTAATGAAAGGCTTCTATTGGTAATTGAATTCTTTTAGCAATAGCAATAGCAATAGCAATAGCAATAGCAATAGCAAGAACAATAGCAATGGCAAGAACAATGGCAAGAACAATAGCAATAGCAATAGCAATAGCAATATTCTAGCCATTTTCATCTTTTAGCCTAACGATGAATCATGCTGAAACCAAGCGACTAATGAATGCCCAATTGACAACAACGAATGGCAGTGGAGCCAATGTGAAGCTGCTCTATCCGACCATGTACAAATTCAGCTGTAATCTTGATCTCAGGTTGGGGGAAAATCTAACAAAGAGCTGATTGTAATAGCTTAATTTGAACAAAGAGCTGATTCATAGCTTAATTTGAACAAAAAGCTGACTCCTACAGCTTAATTTGAATAAAAAGCTGATTCTGATAGCTTAATTTGAACAAAGAGCTGATTCTTATAGCTTAATTTAAACAAAAAGCTGATTCATAGCTTAATTTACACAAAAAGCTGATTCTAATAGCTTAATTTAACCAAAAAGATGATTTTTACAGCTTAATTTAAACAAAAAGCTGATTCTTACTTTAATAACTCCAAAATTTTCCTAAAAACTGAAGACAAGTGCAAGAGCGGAGTTCCCATAAGTCCATAGTTCCCAAGTATCCCATAAATCATCCATCCATCCCATAGCAATCAGATCCATCTTTACAGAGCTTTTCCTTTCGACGTTCAACAATGCAAGATGATTCTCGGGAGTTGGACTTTCGATAACACGTATATCGACTATTTCCCTCGAAAGCCCTATGTTGGGACAGCAAACTTTCTAAAGAATGAGGAATGGTCAGTGCTGGGAACATACGGTAAAGGATTTTCACATTTTAAAATCACTGTTCTCAGGTTATCGAGAAGAGATCAAGTACGCGTGTTGCCCGAACAATTACACCCTTCTGCACTACATCATTCATTTGAGAAGGAAACCGCTTTATTATGTGATCAATTTGATCATCCCAACTGGAATCATCACCTTGATATCAATTGTCGGATTCTTTACGTGAAGAAGCTTTATTTAGCTTCAACTTTAGCTTTAACTTTTTCTAGATCTTCCTCGATAAACGACATTCGAGAGGAGAAGATCACTTTGGGGATCACGACATTACTTTCGATGTCGATTCTGATATTGATGGTGTCGGATAAAATGCCATCTACTTCATCGTTTATTCCATTGATTGGTAAGAAAATTAGGCTGAATTCGGTCTAACTTCGGTCGTCTAACTAATAAAGGAAGATCAACTAGATTTTCTGGCCAAATCACATGAGCCATTCAACGCAGAATTTCACGCTGATTCCGACTCTGCTTTCTGTTTTTGATACGGAGCACTCTGTCAAAAGTCATGTGCGCTTAAAGTTTTGGAGTGTCGGAAAATGGAGACTGCCCAAGCCCAAACCTAGAAAAGACAATCAGCTACCGGACTAGAACCAGTGATTCCTGGTCTTGCGCCCTAACTCACTACCATTCAGCCATCGCTACCACTGCTCCCGGAAGACAGGGTTGTAAGACCACGGTTCGATTTTTGAAACTCTTTACAAACCTTAAACAAGTAGTGAGTTTTAAAAATCAAACCGTGACATTAAAACCCTGTCTTCTGCGAGCTCGGGAGGTGCAGCAGTGGCTGAGTGGAAGTGAGTAAGGAGGGAAGGCCAGGAATCGTTGGTTCGAGTCCGATCCCTGACTTTCTTTAACGCCTTTAGTCTTTAGGCTTTAACTTTAGGCTTTAACGGCTCAATTGTCTTTAGGCTTTAACGCCTTGTGTTTCCTCTATCTAAAGCTTCTCTAAAAGTCAACTCCTCAAGGCATTAAAATCTAGAAAAGAATAAAGACAAAGCCCGGACTCGAGCCAGAGTTCCCTCGCCTTGCGTCCCCTCGCATTGCGTTCCCTCGCCTTGCGTTCTAATTCACTACCACTCGGCCACCTCTGCACCTGCTGGGCTCCCGAAAGACAGGGTTGTAATGTAGCGATTTGATTCTTGAAACTCCTTACGTACTGAAACTTGCAAAACTTTAAACGCGTCTAACTTTTGACAGAGTGCTCCGTAGCAAAAAAGAAAAGCAGCATCATGATCAGCGTGAAATTTTGCATCGAATGGCTCATCCAGTTCGGCTAGCAAATCCATTTGACCTTCCCTTGTAAGTAAATCTAACACAGCAAATCGCAGTTTGGCTAGCAAATCCATTTGACCTTCCCTTGCAAGTAAATCTAACATCTCAATACCATTGATGTCAAACTTTGATTGATTTACGTTTTGATTTGACTGAACTTTGTGAATAGAACCAGTTCAAAGTTCAAAATGAAAGAGTTTTTGTTTTTGAAATTTCGCTCATTCATGAAGTAATCTTTTCAGAATCAAGGAAAGCCAAACCAAAACCAAAACGAAAGCCAAAAGACAAAGCCAACCAAAACCCAAAGAAATTGGGCTCTTAGCCTTCTGAAATAATCTGAAATTGATTTCTAAAATAATTCCATAAACGCGTCAAGTCTTCGTAAACATTTTAGCAGCTTTTTTCCGGAATGCCGAACTTTTCAAAGAATTCCCACCGAATTCTCACCGAATTCAGGCTGGTTCTACACCTTCATGATCATGTTGATCTCTTGCGCCACCCTTGCCTCATCATTTGTTATCTACATTCAGAAACAGGTAAAAAAAAGGTTTACGCAAAATCCCTTTTCAAATGAAATCCCTTTTCATTTGCAGGGTTTAATCGGGAATCCGCCCGAAAAAAGCACAATGAAATGGGCGAGACGAGTGGGGAAAATTTTCCGTGTCGAGATGCCCTTGATAATGAAAGAAGCGTATGCAGCGAAAGCAAGGGTAGGTTTTGAAAGAATTCGAAAATAAGTCTAGACTAGAGTTATTCCAATTCTCGTGAGACTAGGCCAGAAACTGAGCCAGAAACTGGGCCAGAAACTGAGCCAGAAACTAAGCCAGAAACTAAGCCAGAAACTAAGCCAGAAACTGAGCCAGAAACAGCCAGAAACAGCCAGAAACTGAGCCAGAAACTAAGCCAGAAACTGAGCCAGAAACTGGGCCAGAAACTGGGCTAGAAACTGGGCTAGAAACTGAGCCAGAAACTGAGTCAGAAACTAAGCCAGAAACTGAGCCAGAAACTAAGCTAGAAACTGAGCCAGAAACTGAGTCAGAAACTGGGCCAGAAACTGGGCTAGAAACTGAGCTAGAAACTGAGCCAGAAACTGAGTCAGAAACTGAGCCAGAAACTGGGCTAGAAACTGAGCTAGAAACTGAGCCAGAAACTGATCCAGAAACAGCCAGAAACTGAGCCAGAAACTGAGCCAGATTTGCAGCTAATTGCAAGTCAGACCAAGCAAAACCAGAAGCCAGGACCCAACTGCTAAATCCGTTTAGCAAAATTGCTAAATGGTAAATAGTTTGGTGGCTAAAAGCTGGATTCTGATGAAGCTCGTAGAATTTTCCGCAGAAAAACGGAAAACGAAAAACCCTGCCCACTAGCCAGAGGCATTTTGGCTATAATTTTATTCAAATCCAACCTTTCTACAATATTTTGTTTTCATTCGATAGAGCAAGACTTTCTGCGCCGAATGATAACGTAGAAGGTTGGATTTGAATCAAATTATAGCCAAAATCCCTCTGGCAAGTGGACGGGGTTTTTCGTTTTCCTTTTTTCTGCGGAAAATCTTGCAAACTTGATTCTGTTTCTACGATATTTTGTTTTCATTCGATAGAGCACGACTTTCTGCGCCGAATGCTACCAAAATAACGTAGAAAGGTTGGATTTGAACCAAATTATAGCCAGAATCCCTCTGGCAAGTGGACGGGGTTTTTCGTCTGCGGAAAATCCTGCCAACTTGATTCTGATTTACCCCTAGCGTTTCCAGACCCAGAAAAATGACATAATTCTGGTCTATATAAGTTCAGCATAGATAAAAACGTAAACGTAAACTTAAAAACAATGTAAACCCTTTTCTCTTCAGCTTTACCAGCGCGACAAGGTAAGCTAGACCGATTGATTGCCGTTTTGCACTGAGTTTTGCAATGAGAAATCGATCAAAAGTTGAACTATGCATAGTTTGAAAGGATTATTTTAAAAGGATTATTTTAGATTATAGATAAAAAATGCGAAATTTTCAAAGAAAACGAAATTCAGGAAGACAAATTACGCAACGGTTATGCCCGGAAGCAAAGCGTCTGGCAAAAGATTCTCACAAGGTAAAAAGTTTAAGAATTCGAGAAAATTCGTAGATTAGCATTAGAGTTAGCTTATTAAGGAGTTAAAATAAAAAGGACCTCCAATTTTGCAGAGCTTCTTCATCTTCAAAACTCAACCTCAACCAAAGCCGACAAAGCCCAACCGGATCGATTGCCGACTCGCTTCTTTTTGATACAAAAGAGAAAAGTAAACTAAAAATTGAAGTTTATCGGACATTTGATACACTATTTAAATTGGACAGCCCAACACGAAGATATTTGAGCTCAAAGGGAGCGGGGCGACCCTTTATACGCACCCCGTCCCCTTTGCCATTGGCAACCCAACTTTGAGCTCAATTAGCTTGGTGTTGGGTGGTCCGATTTAAATAGGTCTTCAACCATTAGATGCGCCAAGTCTTTCTCTATCGATTGGTACAAAAACTATTTAAATTGGACCACCCAACACCAAGAAATTTGAGCTCAAAGTTAGATTGCCAATGGGCTCAAATATCTTCATGTTGGGCTAGGCAATTTAAATAGTTTTTGTACCAATCGAGAGAGAAAGATCTGGCGCATCCAATAATACCAAGAATATTTCAATTGGACCAGCCAACACCGAGAAATTTGAGCTCAAAGGGAGCGGGGCGACCCTTTATACGCACCCCGCCCCTTTGCCATTGGTAACCCAACTTTGAGACCAAATTTCTTGGTGTTGGATGGTTCAATTTAAATAGTTTTGTATCATTAGATGCTCCAAGTCTTTCTCTATCGATTGGTACAAAAACCATTTAAATTCGACCACCCAAAACCAAGAAATTTAAGCTCAAAGTTGGGTTGCCAATGGCAAAGGGGGCAGGGCTAAGCAGATGTACGATGCCCTTTTATACGCATCCATGGGCGGTCGAATTTAATGAATTTTGTACCATTCGATGCTCCAAGTCTTTCTCTATCGATTGGTACAAAAACTATTTAAATTGGACCACCCAACACCAAAAAATTTGAGCTCAAAGTTGGGTTGCCAATGGCAAAGGGGGCGGGGCGCGTATAAAAGGTTCCACAATCAGCCAGATCATTTTTTGAGTTGAATGAAACAATCAAATTTCGAATCTTTGTCATTTAGTGGATCTGAACGCAGCGAGTTGCCCCGATTATTCGGCTTTGATGACCGATTCACCGAGGAAGAAAATCCAGGACCCATTGCGACGACCGCCAACTCTTAAAATCTCAAGAGATGAATCAGATCATCTCGTCATTCCACCGCTTTCTCTAGACTCATGTAAGTTTGACGAGTTCACGAGTCACGAGACCCACTCGAAAGCGCTCTTTTTTTCTGCTATGACCATTCTTGGAGGCATTAAACACTTGAATAAATGAGCCAAGCTGGGCTAACAAGGAGAAGGCATAGAGTCATTATCGATTTTTTGAACTTTGCCTGCTTGAACCCAATTGGAGGTGCCGTCCATGGCGTCCATGGGCAGTCGAACCTGAATCTGTATTTAGTTTTTGCCCAATCCTTTCAATTACAAGGAAAATCGAGAGGAAATCTTTGGGGAACGTTCATAGGGAAATTAAGTGGCTAGCAAAAATTGCTCATTAGCCGACCGGTAACTTGCCGCGCTACAAGGCTAACAAGCTACACTACTGGACAATGAAATATCATCTTTGAAAAACGATCGTCACTTTCGCACGTCTGTAACTCCCTTGTCTTTGAGTTTAAACTATTAGTGTTATACATTTTCTGAAAGCTCTTTTCAAGGGCTACACAATGGTAATATTAATATTTAGAAATACGGTAAAGACAAGGGAGTTACAGACGCGCGAAAGTGACGGTCGTTTTTCAAATATGATATTTCATTGTCCAGTGGTGTAGCTTGTTAGCCTTAACTTCACCTCATAAAAATAAAGGGTTCCCAAAGATTTCGCTCTATTTTCCTTGCAATTGAAAGGGTTAGGCAAAGACTAAATACAGATTCGGGTCCAGCGGCTCCAGTCCAGGTCCAGCAGCTCCAGTCCAGGTCCAGCAGCTCCAGTCCAGGTCCAGCAGCTCCAGTCCAGGTCCAGCGGCTCCAGTCCAGGTCCAGCAGCTCCAGTCCAGGTCCAGCGGCTCCAGTCCAGGTCCAGCAGCTCCAGTCCAGGTCCAGCAGCTCCAGTCCAGGTCCAGCGGCTCCAGTCCAGGTCCAGCAGCTCCAGTCCAGGTCCAGCGGCTCCAGTCCAGGTCCAGCAGCTCCAGTCCAGGTCCAGCGGCTCCAGTCCAGGTCCAGCAGCTCCAGTCCAGGTCCAGCAGCTCCAGTCCAGGTCCAGCGGCTCCAGTCCAGGTCCAGCAGCTCCAGTCCAGGTCCAGCGGCTCCAGTCCAGGTCCAGCAGCTCCAGTCCAGGTCCAGCAGCTCCAGTCCAGGTCCGGCAGCTCAAATTGGGTATTCTGAAGCACTTGAAGTTCAAAACAAACCGATAATGACTCTATGCTTCCTCCTTGTAAATTTTATCAATCAATTTACCCAAATTGCTACTTTTTTTGAACTATACACTAATTTCAGCGGAATCGATAATGGAGAAAAGTAAGTCTCGGGATAGAAGAGATAGAAGTAGTGAGAGAATAGCGAATCTCATGAGCAATCTAACACGTTTTACCCGTCTCACAATGCTTAAACCGTTAAGCCGCTCAAAAGACACGTAGAGCCACAAAAAAACATTTTTCTAGACAATCAAAATAGTCACTGAAACCTTTAGCGTCACCAACCCTATTGGATCTCCAAAATCTGTCCTTGTTTCCGACGCAGAGACTTGGTAGTTAGTGTGCGGCTTTGTCACAAAACTAGATGCTGAACTAAATGCTGAACTAAACTAAATGCTGAACTAAACTAGATGCTGAACTAAATGCTGAACTAAACTAAATGCTGAACTAAACTAAATGCTGAACTAAACTAGATGCTGAACTAAATGCTGAACTAAATGCTACAAACTGTTTGAGCGCTTGTAAAATGTAAAAAAAACAAATGAGTGCAGTGGTGAAGATGATGTGGTTTAAAATAGAAGTGTAAGCAAGATCACAAAGAAATTTGTGAGCTTTCTGTTTTCGAAAAAAACTCGTGTAATTAGCTTGTGAAATCTTTAGCTAAGGATGCATAATCATGCATGAATGCATAATCATGATTAATCAACGCCTCCAGCCAAACGAAAACCCTCATTTTATTAGAAAAAACTTTCTATATCATATCATTTAATTGCATCATTTAATGATTCACGATTTCTATAAACAAATATACTTGTAGTTGTTGCAAATAAAAGCCTCGCTTTAACAGTTTTTCCTTAAATAGTTAAATAGCTTAAATAGTCTTAAAAATAGTTTTTAATCATTTTAGAAAATAATGCAAAAATTTGTCAGTCAGGGGTGTCGAACCCGTGAGCACAAGGAGACGCCCAGACTATGGGATGAGCGCACTAACCCCTAGACCACGAGGCCCTTCTGAAGACCCCGCAACTAGCAGCCTTATAAGGCAATGGTCTTCTTACTCTTGACGAAATTCGAAAAATCTTTTAAAATCATCAACTTTGAGGCAATTTTTCTCAAAAATTTGGTCAGTCAGCCGCGTCGAACCCGTGAGTACAAGGCGACGCCCAGACTATGGGACGAGCGTACTAACCCCTAGACCACAGGGTCCTTTCGAACCCTCGGCAACTAGCAGCCTTATAAGGCAACGGTCTTATAAGCTTATTCGAAATTTCTTTTAAAATCATAAACTTTGAGGCAATTTTTCTCAAAAATTTTGTTGCCTGGTACCCCAGAGATCTACTTTTTCAGATGCAGGACATTTTTTTCCAATAAAATGCCCGTTGTCGTTTGGCTGGTGAATCTGTGTAAAGTAGATAAATGAACTAGGGAATTCGGGCGCCAAAAAGTGATCTTCTGCTTTTTCACAATGTCTGGATTTCCGAAAAAACTTAAAAACTATTAAAAGATATTAAAAACGACTGAAAAACGATCTTTTCAGTATCTCCGCGCTCAGCGGATCGTCGAAATCTCGCGCAACTCGAGTTCGACTGGCTGGCAGCTGTGGTCGAGCGTCTTCTCCTTCTCCTTTTCCTGCTTCTTTTCGCTTTAATGAGTGTCGGTATCAATCTAATTGGTTGGTATTATTGGTACATTGCCGGTTTTCAATACGATTTTTATCTCGTTGATACAACGATTTCATAGATTTTCATAGATTTTCATCTTTTCATAGCTTTTCATCTTTTCATCTTCATCTTTTCATCTTCATCTTTTACATATGTCTCCACGGGTTCTTCATTGTGCTTCTTGATTTTTCTCGGTTCTCCTGTGTCAAAGAAACTTGTGTCAAAGAATTTTACGGGTTTGCTAGCGAATGAACAAAGTTTTGCCTCTCTATTTCTATGCTTTTTCTTTGATCTCTTTTCAATTTGAATGCAATGTTTTACTTGGGAAATTTGAAGATAAAGTTTTTAACCTTACAAAACCTTACAAAACCTTACAAAACCCTACAAAACCCTACAAAACCTTACAAAACCTTACAAGACCTGACAAACCCTTAAAAAAGCTTGCAAAACCTTACAAAACCGTACAAAACCTTACAAAACCCTACAAAACCTTACAAAACCCTACAAAACCTTACAAAACCCTACAAAACCCTACAAAACCTTACAAAACCTTACAAAACCCTACAAAACCTTGCAAAACCCTACAAAACCTTACAAAACCCTACAAAACCCTACAAAACCTTACAAAACCTTACAAAACCCTACAAAACCTTACAAAACCTTACAAAACCTTACAAAACCTTACAAAACCTTTCAAAACCTTACAAATCAAAGCTTTATAAGTGAAAGCTTACAAATCAAAGCTTTATAAGTGAAATCTCTCAAATCAAAGCTTTATAAGTGAAGGCTTACAAATCAAAGCTTTATAATTGAAACCTTTCAATTCAAAGCTTTATAAGTGAAATCTCTCAAATCAAAGCTTTATAAGTGAAACTTACAAATCACACTGAATCACATCACGAAATTCAACAATTAACAACAAGAATTAGCAGCTAAACTGTTGAATTTCTCGTATGACGTCAACCTGATTACTTATAGAAAGGATTTTGAAAGAAAAAAAATGATAGTTTGATGTTAATTCTTCGATTTTTAAACGAAATCCTAGTTTGACAAATCGACAAATTGTAGTAGCTTTGAGGAAACGTGAAAAAAAATAAGCAATCTCTTTTTATGGGCTTTGATACATGAGCCAATCTCCCGTCAAGAACCCTCATTTCTGGCCTATTCTTGCTTTCTTGCCTATTTCTTATCCATTTCTTGCCCATTTCTTGCCTATTTCTTTGCCAATAAATCTCGCAAACGCTTTTCTTAAGAAATACGAGCTCTTGTTGAGCTTTTTTAAAGAAATCGCATCGTTTTAACTCAAATTTATTGTAGGTATTGCAAGTGTCCAAGTGTGTGGATCGGTTTTTCATATTCAAAAACTGGGTAGTAGTTGGCCAGAGTCTTTTAGTAGTAGTCCTTTCCTCCCTTTTAAAGCTAGCTTTTTGAGATGAATAATAAAACAATCGATTTATGATTTGTTTTATCAGAAAGTTCTATTACTTATTGACAAATTCCCTTAGAAGAAATTCTGAAAAGCTCGGGTTATTTCATTTTTTTTAAAAGCTGTAAAGTCGAGCAGTGAAAAGCGATGAAGCTCAGCACTTTTGTGCACTTTTTACCATAGAAACTTATTTTGATGTCAAAAGAGAAAAGATAGAAAATAAAAAGTTAGGTAGATAGACAAATTTTCATAAAATTTCATCAAACCCTTTTCATTATATGTCCATTGTAAGGATTGCAGAACAAACAAGAATTCCCGTTCGGATTTGCTTTAAAGCGAACCAAAATTTGTCTAAAAATTAGCTAAATGAAAGAATTAATGTTTTTTATTTAAACAAAACCACACGTTGATCGTAATTATTCATTCGTAAACGGATTTGCTTTAAAGTGGACTCAAATTTGCTTAAAAATGGTACTTCTTTAGTATCGGGGGGGGGGGTAGATTTTGGTCCATGTTTTCCCTCTTGATTTTTCACATTTCACAAGGAACCAAATTTAGAGAGATAGGGAACCAAATTTAGAGAGATATGGAACCAAGATAAGGAACCAAATTTAGAGAGATAAGGAACCAAATTTAGAGAGATAAGGAACCAGATTTAGAGAGATAAGGTATTAGGGATTTTTTTGGTAAACTTTTGAACTTAATTCAGCTATTTTATTAGGTTGGTGGAAAGATAATCGAAATTTGGAGCCTCTAACTTCAAGTCCAAAACTGTGCCAATAGCCAATGCCAAGCCAATAACAAATGAATTTATTCAAAGTAAAAAGCATCAGCATCTATACACAGTTTAGTAGCAATGACGCAAAAGGACTCTTGTTTCAAAACGCAAAAGGACTGCAAAAGTTTGAGTCTTGTTTATTTCGATTATTTTCCCACCAACCTAATAGATAGAGCTGATTCAGGGCTAGATTTCTGTACGAATTTCGTGCTAAAAAGTTTTAAGAACTTGGGAAAAATCATGCGGAAACTGTGTGCCAAAATCTAACCCCTCTTCCTCTAGCGAAAGATGTACAGGGTACATCTCTCGCTGGAGGATCGATGTACAGGCATCTTCAGCTCCGAACCAAGCTGATATTTTAGTTACTATTGTTATTATTGAATGATTTGTCCGTTTGGCTCGGAGCTGACAATCCGAAAATTTAAATTTAAATTTAAAAAAGGCCGACAAGATTTTTGAGACTTTGAAATTTGAAATTTGACTCAAATTTGCTTAAAAATTAGCTAAATGAAAGAATTAATCTTTTTTTATTTAAAGCAAATCACATATTCATTGACTAATTATTCATTTATAAATGTAAATTTTAAAAAGACGGACAAGAGACGAACTTTTCGAGTAAACTAGTAGTTTGAAGTTAGTCGTTTGAATTAACAATAGTAGGATGAAAAAAAACTTACCTAAGCGACGATTCACTGAATCAGAACTCAAAAAAACCTATGCCAAGTCTCCAAAATGCCTCAAATATGCCTCAAATAAGCCTCCAGCTCCAATAACTCCAATATGACAAGTCACTCGCTCCCTAACTCATTCCAGGCGTAACTATCCTCTCTCGATTTGGATTGAATCAGATTTTGTAGCTTGTTAGAACTTTCTATCTCGGATTTATCATTTACTTCTGCAAAATCTACTAGGTCAATATTTATCTATGTACTACGATGTTTTATTAATGAATCCTTTTGGTGGAAGGGGGAAAGCGTTCGCTTTTTGATGCATAGAAATCGCCGCTTGTCTAGTCCCCAGATTGGCGCTGCTAATTGTTCCTACAAGTTTAGCGATATAGTTCTAGAAAATTCTAGGAAATTGTTTTAGTTCTAGAAAATCTAGCTAAAAGCACTTATTTTAAAATAACTATTGTACCAAAACCAGTTTTTGCAATTAGCTCTATTTTGGTATCACTCGATGAGGAGCCATAGAGTAAGGTATAAAGCCTATCCTGGCGGCAACGGGACATGTGTTGGTGTAGCTCATTGGTAGAGAATTCGGCGGTAAGAGGTCGCGGGTCCGGGCAGAGGTCCGGGGTCCGAGAAGGGTCGCAGGTCCGGGTAGGGGTGGCAGGTCCGGGTAGGGTCCGGGCAGGGTCTGGGCAGGGGTCGCAGGTCCGGGTAGGGTCCGGGCAAGGGTCGGAGGTCCGGGTAGGGGTGGCAGGTCCGGGCAGGGGTCGCGGGCAGGGGTCGCAGGTCCGGGTAGGGTCCGGGTAGGGTCCGGGTAGGGGTCCGGGTAGGGTCCGGGTAGGGTCCGGGTAGGGGTGGCAGGTCCGGGTAGGGTCCGGGTAGGGGTGGCAGGTCCGGGTAGGGTCCAGGCAAGGATCGCGGGTCGGAGAGGGGTGGCGGTTCCGAGTAGGGTCCGGGCAGGGGTCGCGGGTCGGGTAGGGGTCGCAGGTCCGGGTAGGGTCCGGGCAGGGGTGGCGGGTCGGAGAAGGGTCGTAGGTCCTAGACGGGTAACGGGTTTCCAGCTGTTTCTGGAGCTGTTTCTAGAACTGATTCTCTAGGCTAAGCCAAGCCAAGGCTTTGATCTGGCCAGCGATACTTAAATGCGATTAAATGCGTTGAACGTGAGCCTGGTTTCGTTTAATTACCTAGTTGTTATGACACATCCAGCTACGATTGAGAAAATCTGTCATTACTAAAACCCTTCACCACCTCAATAATCAATTCAAACACCCGTCAAATTCAATTTTTTCGCCACAAATTTCTTTGTGGACAACATTTTCTCATTTCTAATTTTGATCTTTTCCAGTCATTCTTATTCATTTCATTTCAAACGTCATCTCGGAAAGCAATTTTGAATTTTTTAGCTTGCGTAGAGTCATCTTTTGAATCAATTCGAAAGGGATTGCGTTTCTCGATGACCAATGCTGATATTGCGTAAATTTTAGTTTTTTTTCACAAATGACATACTTATTTTTATGCTTCAAATTGAGAAAACGTTAAAAGAAAGCCATTTTGTTCTAAGTTTTGCTTTGTTTTGCTTTGTTTGAGTCAAAATTTCTTTCCTGGACCCGGGGAAAGCTTTTCTTTTTTGTTTAGAGACAGATTCTGTTCTCAAAAGCTAAACATGAGTTTTTGAAACTGTTTTCATGAACTTTTTCTTTTCCAAGCTTGATATTATTGCAATAAAAATTGCATTGAACTCCTAAAACCCCATTGCACCCCTAAAATTTTTCTTTTTTCAAACATTCTTTCATAGTAAATGTTATTTTGAGAAAGATTAATATTGGGTTGGTGAATTGAAAACTCCGGGCTATTGTGTGTGTTTTTCGGTGCGTTTTCATGTAAGATTTTAATTTTCGCGCAACGTCGCATTCCAAATGACGTCGCCGGTAGTCGAAGGTAGTCGATGGGAGCGCCGCGTCGTCGTTTCTTTCATTCTTTTTCATTTTCAAATCATTTCTTTTTATCAGATTAGTTGAAAGTATTGTTTTACGCGATAAATTTTGTGATGAAATGAGAAAGGAATCTATTTCCAGTGGAGAATTCGGAACTTTTCGTAGGTCGAACCACAATGAAGGCCAAAACTATTGGGTTGGTGAATTGAAAACTCCGGGCTATTGTCATATGTGACAGTTTGAGCACTTTCTTCAAAAGAAACCCAT